CATGTGTTAACCAAAGTACCAAATGTTTGGATGCATAACATTTGGGGGAAACCAGATTTTTCTCTGAGGGTGCCTGTCTCAGAAATAATCATGAAAAACACAAAATGTAAGTGGGTGAAAACAGGAAACAACTAGGGGCTTCAATGCCTGTGCCAACAACTGAGAGTTGGCGTCTCTGACTCAGACGGGGTGTGTAAAATCATCTAAAGAGTCCCCGACTGGGAACAGGAATATTCTCTAAGACCTTGACAAGTCCCATTAGTTCTCTGCATGTGCAGCCCAGGCGATGGGGAACTCACTATCTTCTGAGACTGTCCACAGGAAACTCCTCAAATTCCCTAAGGTGTTTCCTGCTGTTTGCCAGCTGGTAAATGTAACTTTCTAACAGCTACATCTTCTAATTGAGACCAGACCCCAATATTATAGGAACCTTTATGACCACATGGCTGGCTGAGGGGAAAAGTGATAACCAGACAGGTCTGTGGAACATGTAAGTAGATCTTGGGCATCTTGGAAGCAGAGAGGTGGGACATCACCCTGTTAAGAGTGAGTTTCAGGGACTTCCCTGGTAGTCCGTCCAGTGGTTAAGACTCCGTGCTCCCAATGCAGGGGGCCCAGGTTTGATCCCTGGTCAGGGAACTATATCCTGCATGCATGCTGCAACTGAGTCTGCATGCCACAACTAAAGATCCCGCATTCTGCAACTAAGACCTAGCACAGCCAAAATAAATAGATTAAATAAACTTAAAAAAAAAAAAAAAAAGGGTGAGTTTCAGAACCACACAAACCTCGATTTGAGTTCTGCTCTGCCACTTAGCTGTGTCCTTGGGCAAATCACTTAACCTCTTAGCCTCAACTTTCTCATGTGTGGAATGGAATTAATCATATCTCTGGGAATTCCTGGTGATCCAGTGGTTAGGACTCTGCTCTTCCACTGAAGGGGGCACGGGTTCGATCCCTGGTCGGGGAATTAAGATCCTGCAAGCCACACGGTGAGCCAAAAAAAAAGCATATCTCCTTCACATGAGGATCAAATGAAATAAAGCCTGGAAAACACCTGGCATCCAGCATCTCCACATAGTATTTGTTTAATAGACTGGAAAGGGGACTTCCTGGTGGCACAGTGGTTAAGAATCCGCCTGCCAATGCAAGGGACACGGGTTCGAGCCCTGGTCCGGGAAGACCCACATGCCATGGAGCAACTAAGCCCGCGAGCCACAACTACTGAGCCCGTGTGCCACAACTACTGAAGCCTGCACGCCTAGAGCCCATGCTCTGCAACAAGAGGAGCCACCTCAATGAGAAGCCTGTGCACCTCAATGAAGAGCCACCCCCACTCCCCACAACTAGGAAAAGCCCACGCGCAGCAATGAAGACCCAACACAGCCAAAAATAAATTAATTTAAAAATATATATATTAAAAAAAAATAGACTGGAACGGATATTTCATGGGAAGGGGCATCCTACAGGGTGGAAGCTCAGGCATTCTTATTCAAGTGTTGAAGGGAAGAGTGGCTCTGGAACTTGGGGACATCTGGACTGACAATTTTTTTCCCCAAGCCGGGTAATTTCTATTAGTGGGTTTTGCCCAAAGAGTCAGCACTCAGGAAAGTTCCTGGCTGAGATGTTGGTGGCTTGGAACTGTGTTTCTGGAGTCCACTGAGTTCCTGGGGGGCCGTCCCGAACTTATAAAAGTTAGAACAAGCTTGACTGTACAAGCCACACTTTTTACCTTCCAAAACATGTTCAGACTCACTTGCTCATTTGATCTTCAGGTTATGCTATGAGATGAGCACAGATTATGATCCTCATTTAGCAAGTGAGAAAACTGAGGCTCAGAGAAGGGAAGTAATATTTGAGTTTTGGGGTTTAGCTGCTGAGAAAGCAGTTGTGGACTCCCACTCTACACATCACCATTTCCTAGTTCTTGAATCTTCCCTCTGGTGCCTGGGGCAAGACACTGCTTGGTGTCTCAGAGCATCAGCTTCCTTTCCTCCTCCCTAGATGCCTTTCCAGGCTCCTGCAACTCTGTGGGTGAAGTTTCTATACTTCCTCCAGCACTACCAAGTCCACTGTTCCTGCATTCTCTCTTGCTCACCCATTCAACAAACACTAGCTGAGGACCAATATACTGTGTGCCAGGCCTGGTGCTAGGTGCTTGGGATACAGAAATGAACAAAACACAGCCCATACCTTCGAGTTCACAGACTGGGTAGGGAGAAAACACATCATCAACTAATTCCAAAGCTGTGTGATATACAAAGAGATGCAGTGAGAGCGTCTGGGGATCCCAAAGGAGGACTGCCAAACCCTGTCTGGGATGTCCTTGTTGGCTTCCTGGAGGTGTCATTTGAATTTTCCTAAAGGATGAGTAGAAGTTAGCCATGCACAATCCAGTGGAGGCAGGAACATGTTCAGGTCTTGTGAGCAGTATGGGGATAAGTTATGAGAGCTGATGCTGGGGCTCAGCGGGGACCAGATCACACAGGACACTGGCTGTCAGGCTAGGATGTCTGGGCTCTCTCTGTGGGCAGAGAGGAGCCACTCCAGGATAGATGCTGGGTCAGATTTGTGATTATAATGGAGTATGCTGCGGACACAAAAGACTGAAGGGGGGACTTCCCTGGTGGCGCAGTGGTTAAGAATCCACCTGCCAATGCAGGGGACATGGGTTCAATCCCTGGTCCAGGAAGATTCCACATGCCGTGGAGCAACTAAGCCCATGCGCCACAACTACTGAGCCTGCATGCACAACTACTGAAGCCTGCGCACCTAGAGCCCCTGCTCTGCAACAAGAGAAGCCACCGCAATGAGAAGCCCGCGTACCGCAACGAAGAGTAGCCCGCGCTCACCGCAACTAGAGAAAGCCCGCGCGCAGCAACAAAGACCCAACGCGGCCAAAACTAAATAATTAAAAAAAAAAAAAGACTGAAGGGAATTAGTAGCCTGTGGCAAAGAACAGAAAATGCGGTAAACGGGGAGAATGGAGAGGATGGGATGGATCCCAAAAATATTTAGGGAACGATATTGATGGGACCAGGAGGAAGACTGGATGTAGGAAGTGGGGGAAGGGGTCAGGGATGGTGCTCAGGATTCCAGCTGTGATGATGGGGTCCAGGGTGGACAACCTAGGGTGGTGGGTGGGACAGAAAATGTTGGTTTCACTGCACAGAGAAGTGGAACATACCCAGGTCAGGGACTCAGTACTATGTGTGTCAGTGGTGTTCACCAGAGCTCCAGTGCAGCATTCCCTGCTCCTGTGGGGAGGCTGCTAGCTCAGAACCTGCAAGCCGAGGCCAGCTCAGAAGCTGAGCTGCTAGTGTCACAATCTCCTTCCATCATAAGAGGACTTACCTCTTGGGCCCTTACTTTCTTATCTATAAAGTGAGGAGGTTGAGAAATACCAGAAGCAAAAGACCCTCGTTGATAAAGCTTTGAATCTTGCCAGACTGGCAGGTCCCCACTCACTGACTGTTATCTCACAGTTCTTTTGCTGGTTCTCCCCCCTCCAGGTCACCTCTAAATGCTAATATGTGCTAGGGCTCAATCAGTCTCCTCGTCTGCTCAGTCCCTACGATAGCACTTCTCAGGCTCTAACGTGCACGCAGATCTCATTGAAATGTAGACTCTGACTGAGCAGGTCTGGGGGTGGGCCTGAGATTCTGCACTTCTAACAAGCTCCCAGGTGATGTGGATGCTGCCTGTCCATGGACCACACTATGAAAGTCCAGCTTCCTGGCTCTACAAACTTTCTCCAAACTAATGACTCCCAAATTTATACTTCCCATCCAGACCTCTCTCTAGAACTCCGACTTCTAATTACAACTCTTGGTTGACACCTCCATTTGGATATTTTAAGGCATCTCCCAGAGTTCTCAAACCTGCTTCCCCCCAATTCTCCTTCAGTACTCAACTGCTCAAGTCAAAAACCTACAAGGTATCTGTGCGTCTCCTTTTTCTCTTAGCCTCTACATCCAAACTGACAGCAAGCAAGTGCGGTCTACTTTACCTCCGAAGCATATCCGGACCCTGTCTACTCCCTCCCCATCTCCACTCCCACCACCCTAGTCCAGGCGACCTCCTCTCTCGTGTGAGCTACTGCAGAAGCCACCGACCTGGCCGCCCTGCTTCTTGCCTGCCCTCTCCCCGCATCATTTCTCTACACATTAGAGTGGTCTTTTTAAAATATAAATCAAGTCATGTCACTCTCCTGCTTAATTAAATTCTTTTAGGAGCTAGCATCTCATCTAGAATTAAATCCTAACTCCTTACTCTGGCCTATAAAGCCCAGCATGCCTGGCCCTGGCCCTGACACCACAGCCCTGTCAGCTTCTCTCCAGTCCCTGAGCATGGCCAGCCTGTTTCCTCCTTGGAGCCTTTGTCCTGACTCTGCCCTCTGCTTCCTGGTCCTGGCTGGGCCCTTCTCATCATTCAGATCTCAGCTTGTGGGTCACCTCCCTGGAGAGGCCTTCCCTGATCACCCCATCTCTCATCCCAATTTAACTCTGCATGTCTCATCAGTAGCTGACTTTTGTTTACTTGTCTGCTTCCCCACTGGAAGCAAGACCCAGGAAAACAATGACCTTGTTTTCTACTTGGTTCACCGGCATCTGGAACAGGGCCAGCATAGGTACTCAGAAAAAAATTGTGTTAGGAAATGTCATTCCCCCAATGAGCCTCAGTTTCCCCATCTACTAAACAGCGATAATAATATAATAGCATCTTCCTCACAGGGTTGTTAGGATTAAATGAGAAATACGTGTAAGGCCCTGGCACTTGGTCACTAGTGGCTAGTAATCCCATTACTATAATCAATACCATATTGGAATCCCTGACAGGAATGTGTGGGCAGAGCCAGCGGGACTCCCACATGCTCCCCAGCTGAGCTCCAAGCAGCTGGGCTAATTGGCCCTGGCCCACTACTTGTCACTGCCAAAGTCCTCAACACCCAATAGCAGAGGGAGGGCAAATCCAGGGATGACAAGTGGAGACAAGCGAGCTTCAACTCAACTGTAAGTTTATTAGAAAGGCCGTGGACAGATGAACCCTGAGTTACCAGCTGAGGAAGGAATGAAAAAAGCCCCTGCCCCTCTTGGCCTGCCCCACAGGCCTCCTGTGAATTCTGTCCTGCGGCAGACTCCAACAGAAGTCAGCCAAAAAGTGCTTTCCAGATGCTCCTTCAGGGGCTGCCCGACCTGACTGCAGAGGACCCAGTGGTACGGCCAATGTGGATGCTGGTGCCTGGAGCTGGGAGCCACGGGGCCTTGGTCCTCTCCTCTAGCAGAAAGTGGTTCCAGAACCCCCAACAGAACAGAACAGAAAAGGAGCCGATGGGGATAGAGCAAGTTCTGCCAAACAGCCAAGGGCTCTGGAAGGTGACGCTGGACTGCCTTGGAGGTGGGTGCAGATGGCTACAGATGGCCAATTGTAGGGGTCCCCCCCAGGGGGACCCTAAAGCTGCTCTAAGGAGTCTCAGCTACAGACAGCCCTAGTGTGACTCAGTACCCCTCCTGGGGCTGCACTGGCTACTTCTGCTCCCAGAAAGGCAAATGGATCTTGTAAAAATCCATGGTGGTTGGTGCCATTTTTTTCTTAAAAAAAGACAAGAGTTTGTACAGTGAATCGATTTCAACCAGCAGAGCCTGAACCGAGAAGAGTGCGTCCTGGGGGAGGAGAAGGCACTTCTCACGCCCTCCCCGGGGTGATCTGGGCCCCCTCGGGGCTCCGCTCCCTCTGGCCCTGTGACTCAGGCCCGCTCCCTCTGGGAAGTACGCTGCCTCCGTCGAGCTAGCACTGCCCTGTGGCCCGGATGCTCTGGCCCCTCACAGGGTGGTCGATGGCAGCTTCCTCACCCGCCGCTGGGCCAGGATAGACGACTCGATGGGCTTCAGCTGAGGGGTGGGCTTGGAGCTGTTGAGCGCAGAGTATGTAGCTGCCATGGCTCCCTGGGGGAGGAGGTGGCAGTCAGTTCCCGGGGGTGGGAGGCGCATGTGCTCCAGGGCCAGGCCAGCCCCTCCCAGTGTTCCACAGCCCCCACAGGCCCCTGTTAATCCCGCCTTGGTGGTTCTTCATGGTCATCAGTCCTGCCTCATCCATCAGACTGGAGGCTTCAGAGCTCAGGGGCTGAGCCCCCTAGAGGACCAGGGGGGCCATGAGTGCACTGTAGACACCCCTGCATGTCAGACTGGGGCTCCCTGGGAAGAGACACACATGGCATCTCCTGGCTCTGCCACCCCAAGTCCCTGCCCATGGAACCTTGACCTGGCAGCCTGGGTGTCTGTACCTTCACAGTCTGCAGGTCCTGGTGGGATAGCTGGCTCTGGGGGAGCTTGTCTTTCTGGGTGATCCACGGGTGCTGCAGGACCTGCTTAGCTGTGAGGCGCTGGTGTGGGTCCACATGCAGCATCTTGGATACCAGGTCCTGGAGGAACAGCAGGAAGGGGTTGGTGGGAAGGGCTAGCAGGGGCGCACACAGCTGTGTCTGTAAGGCAGCCATCTCCTGCCATCTCCCACCTGGACCCTTGCAGTGGCCCCTTCGATCCACTCTCCACACCACTCCACGGCTTCCCCGAGCACATGCCCTTCTTCAGGACTTCTTCCTGGAAGGCCGTTTCCTTTCTCTTTCACCTTCTAGAAGCCATGCAGGAAGGTGGGAAGAACCTAAGGCTGGGGTTGGGCAGGTTCAAAACCTGACTCCCCTGCTCATCAACTGCATCTCCTGGGCAAGTTACTTTAACTCTCTGAGCCTCAGTTTCGCCTCTGAGAAACGGGATAACAAAAATACCTGACTCATAAGGTTAATGCAAGGTGGCACTGTTCATTAAGGGCTCAACCTCTGTCTGACACAGAGGTTCCCATGACTGGAACCCATTGCTAACAGTGAAAGCTCAAACGTCCCCTCCTCTGAGAAGGCCTCTCTGCCCAGTAACCTGGGGCTCTGCTCGTGTCTCCACTGCCTGTACCCCTGACCAGGAGGACCTGCCTCTCCGCACCTGGCATCTCTGTTCCTTGCGTGCAAGCCTGTCTCTCACCTCACACTAAGTTTCCCCACGGCAGGGGCTGTGATGATGCAGCCCTCTGTTCCCCTACAGGGCCCAGAACACGGGAAGGGCCAGTAAATGATCACCAAGTTGTTTCCAAACAAGGTGTGGGGGGCAGTCTGCCTGGGAGTCTTTCACTTGGAGAAATATGGCAACAGAGATTTGTGGGACATTCCACTTGGAGAAATGAGGCTGCAGGTCACCTGTTTGTGAAACGCTGAAAAGCCCTGGGATGGGACCCTGCCTCCCCCACCACGAATGAGCAGGGTCCAGATCCTTACAGACTCACCTTGGCTGTGTCTGAAACCGTGTTCCAATTTCCCCCGCTGAGGGTGAACTTCCCACTGCCGATCCGGGTCAGGATTTCCTCTGGTGTGTCACTGGGTCCATTGGCAAATGGAGTGTATCTGGGGAAAAGTCCACCCAGTCTGGGTATAGCCTCTGACCTCCATCCTGGGGCCAGGGGTAGGGAGGGGTGGGGGACTGTGTCTCCCCCTTCAGACGGGGTGCTCCCAAGGGTGGCACTTCCTCCTCCAGGTGGAGCTCCCAAAGGCAGGGCCATGTCCCTGTCTTCAGGCCTTCCTGAGGCAGGGCTGAGTCTCTCCCATCAGACAAGCACCACCCCAGCTACACTAGGGCTAGAGGAAGGGGCGGGGGGCTGAGGGGGGCAGGCCAGTGGGGTACTCACCCCGCCAGCATGGTGTACAGCAGAATGCCCAGGCTCCAGATGTCGCAGCCCTCGTCATAGCCCTGGCGCTTCAGTACCTGGCAGGAAGGGAGGCAGGGGAGGGTGGTCTGTCTGAGGGGCAGTGGCGAGTGGCCCCATATGCTTGCCTGCTCCTCCCCAAAGGGTAGGACAAGGGTCCCAGGCCTGGGCTGATCCTCCCTTGGTACCCGGGCCAAGGCCACAGAGACGGGTTCTGGACAGCGTGGGGCCTCTGGAAGGGACACAAGGCTCCCCGTGCCAGGTCCCCTCACTCTTGCAGCTGAGGAGGCCAGGCCACTCACCTCAGGCGCCACGAAGTTGGCGGTGTAGCAAGGTGTCATGAGGAGCCCGTTCTCAGCCCGCAGCTGCTTGGCAAAGCCAAAGTCGCAGATGCGCAGGCACTCAGGGTTCCCAGACTCGTCCACATACAGGATATTGCTGGGCTTGAGGTCCCTGTGCACAACCTGGGGGAAGAGGGCCCGGGTCAGTTCTCCATGTGGGCAGGCTGCCGGTGGCCCAGGTCCACTGCCAGGGATGGGAGAGTTAGAAGACGGGCCCAGAGAGGGGGCAGAAGGACCCAGAATCTGAGAGGGGAAGGGGCTACAAAGGGGCCTTAGTGCTGCTGGTATTGCCGACTTGAAACTTCTAGGTCAATGTCTGTGAGGCAGCTCTAACTTCACTGTCCACACGGAACTCCTCAAATCCGCCATCACACAATCTCACCTAATGGCAACTCCATCCTTCCCATTGCTTGGATTGAAATCGTAAGAGTCATTCTCAATTCCTCTTTTTTTCTCGTATTCCTCAATCAATCCATTAGCAAACTCTGCTGGCTCTACCATTAAAATATACCCAGAGCCCAAGCACTTCTCAGCCCCTCTCCTGGCAGCACGCTGATCCCAGCCACTATCATCCCTCCCCCGGGGTTACGGCAGCAACCTCCTAACTGGTCTTCCTGCTTCTGACCTCACCCCCTACAGCCTGTTCTAAACAGAGCAGCCAGAGCGATCCTATTAAATGTAAGCCAGATCATGTCCTCTCCAAGGGTTCTGCTCTCAAGAGGAAACGTCTTCACGATGGCCTGATGGCCCCACCTCATCTCTCCCCTGCCCCCTACCCACGTCGCTTGCGCTCTCTGGTCCTCTAGCACTCTCTTCCTTGCTCAGTTGGCTTTGGCCACAGCAGCCTCTTTGCTCTTCCTTCAACATGCCAAGAGCCTTCACACTTGCTGTTCCCTCTTTCTGGAATACTCTTCCCTTAAGCATCGGCCTGGCTCATTCTCATTTCTTTCAGGTTTCAGCTCAAATGTCACCTTATCAGTGAGGCCTTCCCTAGACCACTCCATATAAAATAGCAATCACGGACCTGCACTCCTTAGTCTCCTCACCCTGCTTTATCTTTATCCACAGCATTTACCACCATTGGATATTTACTTAATTGTCTTCTGCACCCACCCACTGGAATGTAAGCTCCACGGGTGTTTTGCTCACTGCTGCATCCCAGCATTTAGAATAGTTCCCAGCACAAAGTAGGTATTCAATAAATAACTGCTGAATGAATGGATGAATGACACTTAACTAGTGAGGCCTTAAGCAAATGACTTTCCTCTGGCCCCGTTTGCTCATCTGTAACCTGAGGGGGCTGAACCACTCCACTTACTTTTCAACCACCCCCTCTCCCTTGGCATGGTTCTATTCATAGTCATTCCGCTATTACCTAATTATCGACAACTCTCAGATCTCTGACACTAACCCACAGCTTTCCTGAGTCCAGGCTCATATAGCTGCTTACCAGACTGCAACCACTGAATGTCCCATAGGCCCTCAAACCCAACACATCCCAGACTAAACTCATTCTCACCCTCCTTCTCCTCCTCCCATGAGCTCATGGTACCGCCTTGAGCACTGTCAAAGACCTTCAATGGCTCCCTACTACTTGCAAGATAAAGCCTGAAGTCCCCATCCTGGTGTGGAAGGCTCAGCTGTCCGTTCCAGCCTTTGTCTACCACATCCCTCAAGCGCCCTGAGCTCAGGCCAGTGGGGGTTCCTTCAGCCATAAATAGCCGTATCTGTCTGTGGAACGCTGGCTCACCCCCAGCACCGAGCACAGGGACTCGCACAGGGCAAGTGCTACGTGAACGCTGTGCAATGAATGAATGAATCACACCTCTGAAACACACAAAGACCTTGCAGGTTAGATCAGCTGAGTCTCACAGGTTAGTTGGCTTCACGAGACGGTCCTTGCATATTCCCCGTAGAGCCAGGCCAACAGGCTCAAGGGGCAGTTGCTGCGCACTCCAGCTGACAGTCACCATACAGCAACTCGGGCCCAGGTTTCAAAAGCAGCCAAATTACCAAACCAAACCAAATCCCAAACAAGAAAACACCCGCACTGTGGAGGCCAAATGCAGCCACTGAGCCAACAGGCTGTGGCTCGGGCAGAGTTGTGATTTCAGTCAGGAGGCAGATGGGCCAGAGTGTGAACCCTGGCTTTACCAGCAGTAGCTGTGTGGTCTTGATGCGTCACTTAACCTCTTTAGTCCTTGGTTTTCTCACCCGTAAAATGGGGCTGATGAGAGTGCTCGGCCCCCAGGGTTACAGGAAGGAGCATATGAGTTATGTACCAGAAATATTTAGCACAGGGCTTCGAAAATGGCAGTTGCTGTCATAGTAACGCCAGCACTCCCTGGGGCTGAGCCCCACCATCATGCTGGACATTAACATACAGTGAGTGCTTGTTAAGACGCCCTTAAAAATTAGAAGACAAGAAGGGTAGGAAAATGAAGGGACAGATGCTGTGCAAAGCAGCATCCGATCACACACAAGTTAGGGGCACAGACTCTGGGGACAGTTTAGCGATGAGGCTTTTACTTAAGCTCCCAGAGCCTCAGCTCCCTCACTTATAAAATGGGCAGAATAATACTAATACCTCCTTCATAGGTTCGTTGGAACAGTTAAATGAGTTGATGTGCAAAGTGCTTAGAATGTGTCTGGCCTGTGGAAAGTGCTATGTGGAGCGGCGGCACCTCTGTCATCACCAGCACCATCGGAGGATGTGCATTAGGGCGCCTGTGACCAGCCACACACACACAAAAGGGTGAAGTTCTTCTACATAAATCATCTGGCTAAACAGAGAAGTCAAAGTGTGAAGCCCTGCTGAGTTCTCAGACAAGCTGTCCCCGGCATGCTGGGGCCCTTACAGAAACAATATGAGGGAAGCAAGAGACCTGAAAGGGCCCACGTATTAAACAAAGAACTCTTGCAAAATAGATGAAAAAGGCAGACAACCCAATTTCTTCAAACGGACAAAAGACTTGAACAGACATTCCATAAAAGAGGCTGTCCAAATGGCAATAAACCCACGAAGAGGTGCTCAACTTCATCAGTCATCAGGAAAATGCAAATTAAAACCACTATGAGATACCATTCCTCATCTCCTAGAATGGCTGTGATTAAAAAGATGGAAAATACCAAGTGCTGGAGAGTACCAGAACTCTCACACGCTTCTGGGAGGAGTGTAAGTAGGTAAAACAACTTTGAAAAACTGGCAACATCTACTAATGATGAACATACACTGCACTATGACCCAGCAATTCCACAGTTAGGTTTACACCCAGTGTTAAAATGGGCAAGTGTTCACGAAAGACAAGTGTAAGAATGTCACGGCAGCATTATTTGTCACAGTCAAAAAACTGGTAACAACTCCATGTCCATTAACGGTAGAAAGAACAGTTAAACTGTGGTCTATTCATACAGTAGAAACCACACGGCAACGAGAAGGAGTGAACTGCAGTCACACAACATCGCAGATGAATCTCAGAGAGTGCTGACTGGCAGAAGTGAGATATGAAAGAGTACGTTTATATAAAATTAGAAGTTCACGGGCTTCCCTGGTGGCGCAGTGGTTGAGGGTCCGCCTGCCGATGCAGGGGACACGGGTTCGTGCCCCGGTCCGGGAGGATCCCACGTGCCACGGAGCGGCTGGGCCTGCGCGTCCCGAGCCTGTGCTCCGCAACGGGAGAGGCCACGACAGTGAGAGGCCCGCGTACCACACACACACACACACACACACACACACACACACACACACACACACACACACACAAATTAGAAGTTCACTTAGAATGGTTATCCTTGGGGAGGGGAGGGTGCAGGGACTGGAAGGGGCTCGAGGGGGTTGGGGGGAACTGGAAATCCTTCAGTTCTTGATCTGGGTGCTCAGTTACATGGGTGTATTCACTTTTTGAAGATTTATTGAATTATACATGATGATTTGTTTATGTGATATTTCAATAGGAAGGTAACGTTAAAACAAACAGGAGGTCCCAGTGGACCCTGCTCCTGGTCAGCCCCTTCCCATTCCTCGGCTGTTATGAGATTCCCAGCTTCTAGACCACAGATGCTGCCAAAGGATAATCAGCCCCGAGAATCTCCCTCCAAATACCTCCAAGAGAGCTTCCCATTTCCTCATCATCTACCCCTGGTATTTGGAAAGGGCCAGAAGCTTTAGAAGCCCATAGATTCCAAAATCCCAAAGATTTCCTTTGGGCAAGAAACAATATTCTCCCATGACACCCCACCGAGCAGCTGTCTGTACTGGAGCGCACTACCCCTCATGGAGGGGCTCACTACTTTTGGAGGCAGCTCCCACTCTATAAAGCCCTTCCCTGCTCTGAGTTTAGGGGGCCCACTGGAAACGCACTGCTTCAGCTCTGTCTTCTAAACCTTCTTTGGGTAACATTACATTAGCTAGTACTCACGTGAGAACAAAACAGGAAAAGGAAGCACATTTACTGTCTGACCTGACATGTTTCCATATCAGTCTGTTTGCACTGGCCATATCAAAAAACTAAACCACTTCAAACATGACCATTAACAGTACATGTGGTAAACAAACTGAAGCTCTGGTTATGAGGTAAAGATCTTTTTCACAAAACTTTTACTTTATTTTTACAAACCCTAATGAAAGGATTGATTCAGGCCAAGGTCCTGAAAGGCTGAAACCATGGCATGAAGGGTCGGTGAGGACCTTTATGATACACCTCAGGGCCACCCACTGCCCGCCACCCATTCACGCATCCCCAGACTGTGACCACCGACACCACTGATGACTAACGGGGGCAACGAGATGTTGGCTCAGGGACGTGATGCTTTGTGAAGTACGCTGTGCCTCCCATGGAGTGTTTATTGACTCCTTGATCCCCAAAAGAAGTCGAAGCTAAACCTAATTAAGACTTTGGAGCACCTTGCAGTTTACAGGAAATATAGGCAATAGAGAAACAATTAAAATGATGCCATGAGGAAGCAAACAGACACATTCAGAATGTGGGACGGGGAATTCCCTGGCGGTCCAGTAATTAGGACTCCACGCTCTCACTGTCAAGGGCCCAGTTTCGATCCCTTGTCGGGGAACTGAGATCCCGCATGCCATGCAGCACAGCCAAAAAAAAAAAACCAAAGAAGATTTGGTGAATCTTGGGACTTCCCTTACGGTCCAGTGGTTAAGACGCCACGCTTCCACTGCAGGGGGCGCAGGTTCAATCCCTGGTCAGGGAACTAAGATCCCCCGTGCCGTGTGGCTCAGCCAAAAAAAAACCCAAAAAAGATTTGGTGAATCTTAAAGGGAAATGTTTTTCCTTGTACTATTCTCTTCTTTTTTTAAAACTTTTTATTTCATATTGGCGTATAGTTGATTAACAATGTGTTAGCTTCAGGTGTCCAGCAAAGTGATTCAGTTATACATATACATGTATCTATTCTTTTTCAAATTCTTTTCCCATTTAGGTTTTTACATTATATTGAGCAGAGTTCCCTGTGCTATACAGTAGGTCCTTGTTGGTTATCCATTTTCAATATAGTGCTGTGTACATCCCTTGTACTATTCTTTTAACTTTTATATAGGTTTGAACTTTTTCCTCAATAAAAAGTGGGGGAAAATACTCCAGCAACAACAAAAAAGAAAGTAAGAAATTGAAAGAGGGAGAAGGAGGGAGAAGGAGAGGGAAGGAAGAAAAGAGGGAGGGAGTGGGGTAAAAATCTTGACAATTCTTGAATCTGGTTACGGGGGGTTCATTATTCTATTCTTGTACATTTTGTATATGTTTGAAATTTTTCATACTAAAAAGTTAATGTTGGGCTTCCCTGGTGGCGCAGTGGTTGAGAGTCTGCCTGCCGATGCAGGGGACATGCGTTCATGCCCCAGTCTAGGAAGATCCCACGTGCCGCGGAGCGGCGGGGCCCGTGAGCCATGGTTGCTGAGCCTGCACGTCTGGAGCCTGTGCTCCGCAACGGGAGGGGCCACAACAGTGAGAGGCCCGTGTACCGCAAAATAAACAAACAAACAAACAAATAATAATAATAAAAAGTTAATGTTAAAAAAGAAAAGGCATAGCAATGATCTGGTCCTGTTTCCCCGTAATGTTTATGTGGCCTTTTCCAGGGGCCCGTGCTGGACCATGGTGCTTCCCTGGCACAGCACCTCACTTCATGCCTCATCCAACCTGTGAAGGGGCAGCTCTTACTGTCATGAGTTTGCAGATGAGGGGATGGCTCAGAGAGGTGAGAGGTTTTCCCAACCTAACACGCAGAACTGGACACAGCCAGTCTCATTCCAGAGCCTGCGTCCTTAACCCCCATACTGCCTGACCAGAAGCACCCTAAAACATCATCTCGTCCAGAGAGAAACTCACGCGGACTCTGTTTTCAGCTTTGATACCCTATAAGGACCTTTTCTAGCTCCGCCTTGTGCAATGATGAGGACAAGTCCTACGGTTCGGACACACACTCTTCTGTAGCACCTGCTGTGTTTCCAGCAGCATTTCCTCTTGCATCCACTTCCTCTGTCCTAACAGCAAAACCCATGGCCGGATTCATCACCCTGAAGCCTTGCAGCTCCCACAGTGATCCTGCTCGTTCTTAACTTAAAGCCTCACTCCCCATCTGTAGCTCTCCACCCAAATTCCTCAGTCAGACATTCTGGCTCCATTCTTCCTGGACTGTGTGACCTTGGGCAAGTGAGCTCACATCTCTGAGCCTCAGCCTTCTTACCTGTAAAGTGAGGCCAATAACAGCACCTACCTAACAGCGTTGTTGTGAAAATCAATTGAGATAATGTAAGGAAAGAAGTCAACATGACGCCTGCCTCGGTCCTGAACAAATGTTCATTTTCACAGTTTGGCCTCATCTCTCCCTCCCTCCCTTCCTTATGTCCATCCACTTGCCCCCTCACCCATCCCAAGTCTCCCCTCTGTCTGGCTGGTTGAAGACTGCCTGGGCCAGTCATGGTTCATACACTCTGTTTACGGTACGACCGTTGGCCGCCCCCCATGCCCACTTGGTGCCCCCGACCCAAGACTTACCCCCTGGGAATGCAGATACTCCACGGTCTTGCCGATGGTATGCAGGACGAAGCTGGCCTCACGCTCTGAGAAGAATTTCTGCCGTAGGATCTTATCCAGCAGCTCCCCTCCCCGCATCAGCTCTGTCACCAGGTACACGTGTTTGCCATCATCGTACACCTACCAGAGACCTCACCATCAGGCCCCTCCCCTTGATGCCAGGCCTGGGCCCCTTGGCCACCAGCTCACCAGGACAGGAAGGAAGGAATGACGTGAGGCTTGGGCGTGTGTTCTGCTCTGTGCTTCAGTCACCCTGGCAGGGCCTTCACCTATCTGGGCCCCTGGACAGGATGCTGGCTCTGTCCTGATGGGCAGGAAAGCTCTCAGAGACTGCCTGGGTGTGAAGTGGAGGGCACTTGGGTGCAGCCAGATCAGAGGCACTAAGGGGCCTCCCCATCCATAAGCACAGGAGGATCAGAAGCCAAAGGAATGGCAGCCCCGAGACGGTCCTAGAGTCGAGGGCCCCCATCCCCAGCCCACTCTCGAGGACCCCCACTTACATCTTTCAGAGTGATGATGTTGGGGTGCTGCCCGTACCGCAGAAGAATCTCAATCTCTTCCGAGGGATCTCGCTTGCTCTTGTCGATGACCTGAGGAGAGGGGTGCATGTGGTGGTGTCCAAGGGACCGACTCCAGACACCCTTCCCGCCACAGAGCCCACGCTGCAGGGCGTGGAGTCTCAGCCGCACACCTTTCACCCATCCACAGAGCCTCAGGCACCAAGTCTCCCCCACCAACGGGCCAGGGCTACGTGGCCCCCCACCTCCACCCCACCGAGTGGCCTCGGCCGAGACAAGGTCGAGAGGCCTACCTTGACAGCATACTCCATGGTGGTGGCCTTGTGGACACAGCGCTTGCACTCGGAGTAGGAGCCCACACCGATTGTCTCTTTTACCACATAGCCGTCGCTAAAAACCAGGTTCTTTCCGTGTAGTTGCTGCAGGAGACCAACAGGTAGGACTGACCCCGAGCTCTAGGATGCAGAGGTCATCCCCCCAGAACCCGAGGCCTTGGCACTGTGTAGATGGCACCGGGCAAGAGGCTGGAGGCCAGGGGTAGAATGTTGGCTGTGTGACCTCAGGCAAGAGTCTGCCCCTCGGGCTTCCGTGGTGGCGCAGTGGTTGAGAGTCCGCCTGCCGATGCAGGGGACACGGGTTCGTGCCCCAGTTCGGGAAGATCCCACATGCCGAGGAGCGGCTAGGCCCGTGAGCCATGGCCGCTGAGCCTGCGTGTCCGGAGCCTGTGCTCCGCAACGGGAGAGGCCACAACAGTGAGAGGCCCGCCTACCGCAAAAAAAAAAAAAAAAAAAGAATCTGGGCCTGTTTTCTACACTATATGATGGGCACACTCACTCTCGCCAGGGTGCCTGGCTGCAGTCTGTGGCTGGTGGGTGCTGGAGGGGGCAGGCAATGGGCCACAACACACGTGGAGCGGTCTGAAGCTCCGAGAAGCCCAGGCAGGACTGAGAGGGATGCAGGAGTCCTGAGCCAGGTCCCAGCTCTGCCACTTACGTGGCCTTCAGTGAGTCGCCTCCCCTTTCTGGGTGACACAGCCCACCTCAAGGGTGTCTCGAGGCTCTGAGACATTAACAGTATCAGATGCTGCCATGGTGCTGAGGGTGTGGCAGGCACTATTCCGAGCACTTTTCACCAGGTGACCCACAGCCCGTGGACGGCCCTGGTTCATGTCTGTTGTCCTCACATCCAGTCTGGTTTAACGTTTGTCCGCGACCAAGATATCCCAGGTGGATAATAAATCACATAGTCACCTTAACTTTACACACATCAACTCACATAATCCTCGAAACAATCCTTGGAGAAAGGTTTTATCATCAACCCCATTTACAGATGAGGAAACTGAGGCACTGGGAAGGCGGATGTCCCCTCCACAGTCCCTGACCTTGGAAGCTCTGACCCAGGCAGGGAGCTCCAAAGTCTACATTCTTTTTTATTTTGTTTGTTTGTTGTTGTTGTTGCTGTCGTTTTGCGGCCACACGGTGCAGCATGCAGGATTCTGGTTCCCCGACCAGGGATTGAACCCACAAACCCCTGCAGTGGAAGCATGGAGTCTCAACCCCTGGACCACCAGGGAAGTTCCCGAAGTCCACCTTCTTGCCTCTCGACTCTAAATTTCCTACAGAGCCGGGAAAGTGTGCAAATGGGGGACAAGTGGAAGGAGACCCGAGGGCCACGCCACCCACCCCCGTCAGGACCAGCCACTCCCCAGCAGCACCACCCTGGGCACTCCCTGGCATTTACCCAGGCCCTACAATGTCCTGGCTCTGTGTCAGGAACCTCATAACCGTGCTGTTATCCCTGTTTTACAAATGGGGAAACTGAGGCTCAAGGAGGCTGGAGGCCCAATGGGCTCCACAGTGGCGTCAGGGTTTGAACCCAAACCTATCCAAGTCCAGAGCCTGTGTTCTCAGCCGTCTGCCTTGTGGCTTCTAGGTGGAAAAGGACAACTGAGCAGCAGCCTCCTGCCCCTCACCTGTACCACCGAGTGCAGGGGCGCCTGCGTGGCCCGAGGCTTGCCGTCGTCCTCCATCAGGCCAGTGGCCACGAAGCTGAAGCCACGGAACAGCTGATGGGCACCAGCGCTGGGGGGGATGCCTGGGGAGTCTGCAGGGGCAGGAGAGGGATGTGAGCCAGAGGAGGTACCCTTGACCCGAGGCAGCCCAGCAAAGCGGACCACAGGGGCTTCCAGGCCTGCCTCAGCAGCTGGTCGTTGTGGCAGCCTGGGCAGGGCCCCTCATCCCCGGCCTTAGTTAGCCCATCTGCCTATGTGTGTTTAGACCAGCCCAGCCCTTACACACAAGGAACAGAAAGACCCTCACCTCTGCCACCCGCCCAGGCCAAGGCACTTTATCCCTTTCTCGAGGCCTCCCTGCCTCTGGTCTGCCCCTTCAGGTCCATCTTCTGCGCAGCAGCCAGAGGGATAGTTCCAACCACAAGTCTACCCCCTGCCTGTACCCTTCAAATGCTCCCCTCTGCCCTCAGGAGAGCCCAGCTCCTCTCTCCCCATTCCACAGCTCAGCCACGCCAAGCTTCTCAGGTCCTTAAGGAAGACTCCGAGCCCCTGCACATGCTGTTCCTGTTAACTACAATCCACTCCTCGTCCATCCTTTGAGGCTCAGCTTACACACTGTCCTCTGAGAAACCTGGCCTCATGCTGCTCCTCCAGGCCCTCGCCTCATTAAGCTGCACTTGTCGTGCTGCCCAGAGCTGTCCTCATGTCTCTTCCCCCACTACAGCCTGAGCCATATGAAGGCAGGGCCTGGGTCTGTCCTGTTCACCATTAATGCTCCCATGGCTGGCACACAGTAGGGACTTGGTACGTATTTGTCAGATCAACAAATAAAGATGGGACAGACTGCTTGGAGAAGTGCTAAGCTCCCTGACATCAGAGATGTGCAAGCCACAGTGTGAAAAGCACCCCCTCTGCTAAACCTGCCCCTCCAGGAGACCTTCCAGAACGAACACTCTTCCCCAATATCTAGCCAAAATGTTAGGATTTACCAAGTTCCCTCCCAGAAGCCCCCCTACTTGGCTTCTAGCAGTAACCCCAGAGACTGAGTGGGTCTACGGCTGAGCCCACGCTTCAGATGAGTCACTGAAGCCCAGTGGTCAGAGTAGCCAAAGCCGATTCCCACGCTTGCCCCTGACCTGTGGGCACTGTCACCTCTGCTGCCAGACCGTCTCCACCTCGTGTTTGCCGGGTCAGACACTTCAGCCCTGACGTGAGTGTGAGCCTGATGCGTCTGGTCTTCTCAGTGGGCTGAAGATGCCTGGGGCAGGAGTCCTGACTTCTCTATTGTGGCCTGAAGGCCACCCCCACCACCTCACTCAGGCACAAAGAGGCCCACAGAATCCCGGAGTGGGACGACCAGGCAGAATGAGATGGAGACAAGGAGTCAGAGACCCATCCACCTGTCTGCCCACACACCTGGGCCTGCCGCAGCCCTGAACACCCCTGTGCCCTAAGAGGCCCCTGACTCCCTGCTTCCCTCCTGTACCAGTCCAAGACAAACCGGACAAAGGGCGCACCCTTGGGCGTGCGGGATGTGAACTCAGTGTCAAAGTAGAAGGTGTCATCGGGTTGTGCCACAGCCGGCTTGAAGGGTGGCTTGATCTCGCGCCGGTACAGCTTCTGCAAGGCGGGGCGGGCACAGTGGTCACCTTGGCACCTCCATAGCCTGCCAGCGGCCCCGTGCAGGAGTCAATGGCCTGGACAGAGCACAGGCTATGCAGACAGGGCATGACCGCTTGCCCTTGGGATGCGAGCCCATGCCTCCAAGGCCATGGTGTCACCTCTGCTTCTTATGGGAGGCCCTAGGCAGTAGAAGCCCCCTCCGACCACAGCTGAATCCCTGACTGGGGCTCTGGGGTGGACAGACACACTCACATTCCAGTCAATGGTGGAGTAGAAGACATGCCGCTTGATTTCCTCTGCCCCATCAGGGCCGGAGCCTGAAAAAGCCCAGATGAGAGGTCTGCCTTGGGATGCTCCAACCCGCAGACACCCGCCCTGTCCTCCGAGCAGCCTCGCCTCACTGTGGTCTGGGACCAGTGGCTGGGCTCACGCTGCCCCAAATCCATCCAGCCATCACCCCGAGGCCTACTGCCCACTCAGCATTTTCCACTGTCTGGAGCCCCTCTATGAACAAGCTCCAATGTACTGACAGGAGAAGGAAAGCCCAGAGAAGAGAGGCCAGGCAACGTGCCCAAGGCCAAAGTCAGGACAGGCCGAACCTGTTCCGAGATCTGCAGGGGGCCCCCACCTCCCTCCCAGCTCAGGCCTCATCTCTGCTGCTCTTATCCCACTGCCCTTGTCAGCCACCAGACAGGCTCTCACTCCATTCAAGCCCAGGGACCTGGACGGGACCTTACAAAGCTGGTCATGATCCAGGTGAACCCGGGAGCCAAGGAGTCAACACATACTGAGCAGCTGCTACAGACACATTCGCTGACTTCAATTAATCAACAGAGCTTGAGATCATTGTCCTCCATGGAGACGAGGACCTAGGGCTCTGGGGGGAGAAGTCAACTGCCTTGGGTCACTTCGCTCACAAATGGTACTCACTCGATCAACAAATATTTGTGGAGGGACCACTGTGTACCGAGGCAGTGGGGTCCTGTCATGGGGCTGGGACTGGGGCCTGAGCCTCTGACGCCTGAGCTCGTGCTCCTTCCGTGCGGGGCCTCTGTCCTCATCCCCAGGGGGAGTACAGATGACTCAGTTCCTGCCTTCCCCCTACACACAGCTCACCCCACTGCCCCAAACGCCACACATGGAGCCAGAAAGCAGGGTGGCCAGAGGCATCGTCTCCCCACACAAAGGACAACGGCCCCTTTCAGCCCCAGATGTGGCCCCGTGGCCTAGGCCGCAGCTGTGCCTCGCTCCCCTCCCCTGAGCTGGGGCTGCTTACCGAGCCGGTTGGCAGGATTCCGCTTGAACAGGGACCGCAGGAGGCTCTGGGCTTCCGTGCTCAGAAACTGGGGCATGCCTAGCTTTGCCCTGAAATGGCCCCCAGGTCTCGTCAGGGCTGAGCTCCACCCCAGAGGCCCCGTCTCACCTCCCACCTCTGTCCACGTCTAGTTTCCAGCTCAGTCCAGACAAGCCATCCTCAAACTCCCCTCCCAATGACTCAGGGATTCCCCTCCCACAGGCCCCTATGGATGAAAAGGGAGCCCTAGAAAGCACAGTGCTCAACCCAGAGGAGTGTCTCATTAATGGGGAATCTGAGGCAGGTGCAGGGTGTTACTCTGGCCCCCAAACTGGGGCCAGGCGTGGAGGAGACCCTGAGGTGTCAGAGAGGGGCTGGAGCTTACTTCAGAATCAGTGTCATGGTCTCCTTCCGGTCCTTCCCCTGGAAGGGCAGGGAGCCCGTCAGCATCTCAAACTGCAGAGGACAAGGGTCTGTTCAGGCTCTGGTCCCATCTCCCATGCCCCCCACCTCCTCCCACCCCAGCCACTCAGCTCCAGGCCTAGGAGTTCCGCCTGGATCAAGAACTGCATCTGCCCCTCCCCAATCTGTCAATCAGACCACGAGGAACAGTACTAGGGGTCCAAAGCTGGGGAGAGGCCCAGCACAGGGCTGGGGGCTGAGCCTGGAATCCTTCCAAGGAAGGAAACTGCAGCTGGGTGGAGGGTGAGGCCAGCTTAGCTGTGAGAGGACAAGAGGAGAGCCTTAGAGACCATCAACCACCCCCTTACACAGATGGGGAAACTGAGGCCCAGGGCCTGGGCTGGATGCTTTACCCCTGCCTGGGCACTCACCATCAGCACCCCGTAGGACCACCAGTCTGCACTGTGGGTGTGGCCCTGGCGGTTGACGACTTCGGGGGCCATGTACTCCACCGTCCCACAGAAGGAATAGGCCTTCTTCTCGTGGTCAATGGCCTCCTTGCTCAAGCCGAAGTCTGTGGCAAGGAGGGCAAGAAGACACATCTTCAGGAGCCCCTGCCTTCCTTGCTGCCATTCCCTGCACACCTATCCCTCCTGCCCAGAGGTCTGAGGGCATCACCCCCATCACACTCAGGAGGAAGCTGAGGCCCAGGGAGGTTAGGTGACCTGCACAAGGTTACACAGTGGGGAGCTGGGATTCAAACCCAGGCCCTTCCAGGTCTGGGGCCTGGGCTTTTGACCGCTTCCAAGCGCCTGGCACAGCCTCTCAGAAAAAGCGGATCCCCTGGCACTCAGCCCAGGCCCGTCAAGAGCCCATCCTGCCCTCCCCTGAAACCGGAGGGGTCAGGTGCCCTCCACTCACCAGTGAGTTTGATGTGGCCTTCCTCATCCAGAAGGATGCTGCAATGGAGAGATGGGAGTCAGGGCGCCCCAGCTGTGGGCCCTCGGTGAGTTCAGGGGACACCATGGGGCCTGCGGGGGTCGGGTCCAGCCCAGAGAAGGTGATCCACCCAGGGCCGCTCATCTGATGAATGGGCAGGTGGAGTGGGTGTTGGTGGTGCCCTGTAGGTGTGTTGCCTACCTTCTTGCTAATTCTTGAAACAACTGTGTGAGGCAGGTACTTTCATGGCCCCATTTTAACAATGGGGAAGCTAAGGCTCAGGGAGGTTAAATAACTCCCCCGGTCATAGAGCTAGTAGGTGGTAGAGACAAGATTTGAAATCGGGTCTGCCTGACTCTAAAGCCACATCTCATTCCACCTCAGCACCTGCCCCTGGCTCCCAAATTACCACTTGAGAATATTCAGATGTTAAGGAAAATTCTAGAAAGGGCCATATCAAGGAATGACCTTCAATGGTGGCATCTCAGATGTCACACTGGATTAGCAAAAAAAGTAGGCAACACCCAGGCACAGAGGTACCTGGCCCTTGGTAATGGCATTACTAGAGATCAGGCAGCCCCTCGGGTGAGCCTGCTGCCTCCGCCACTCTGCTCCACCCACCCGTTCATGGGGCAGCCCATCAGGCTGGCTCCGTACCCCAGCAGGCTGGCTCTGTCCTAGAAGAGGCCCCAGGGCCTGCCTCTGTACACCCTAGGGAGGCCGGGCGCGGCTGGGCCTTCACTCACTTCTCAGGCTTCAGATCTCTGTAAATGATGCCCAGGCTGTGCAGGTGGTCCAGGCCCAAAGCCAGCTCGGCCAGGTAAAATTTCACATCCTCCTCCGTGAACATAACCTGCAACAGGCGGGAGAGGGCTTCAGCTGGGATCACTTCTTCCTCAGGAGCTGGGTCACTGGGCAGTCAGCAGCTTCCCAGTCCTCCTTAGAGATTCCAGTGCCATACACCCTTCTCTGTATGAAGGGGTCCGAAGAATAAAATGACTAGCGTCCAAGTCACTCATGGTAGCACTGAAATGCAAACAGCGAAAGGCTGGAAACAACCCAAGGGTCAAGCAGTAGACTAGAATAAACTCTCTCCCCCACATAATGGAGTGCTATGCAGCCATAAACTAGAACAAGGATTCCTCCATGTTCTGATATGGATCCATCTCCAAGATACACTGTTGTGAAAAAAGCAAGATAAAGAACGGTACATACAGAACAGTACTTTGTATGTAAGAAAGTAGGGGTCAGGATTCAGAACACACAATGAATTGGTTTGTATTTCCAAAGAAACGTGGGAAGCTTAGATAAAAACCAATAAAATGTTTATCTGTGGGAGGGTGGTAGAGGGGGCTGGAGTGGGAGGAAGACTTCTCAATGAATATTTTTCTTTTCAATCATGTATTATCTATTTAAACGTTAAAATAACATTTTAAAAATTTAAAAAGTTTGGTTCTAAAAAAAAAAAAAAGTTTGGTTCTCTTCTAAAGTTTAAGTTGTATTAATGGTCCCATTTTTATATTTGGCTCAAATTCTTTTTTTTTTTCCAAATAAATTTATTTATTTATTTTTGGCTGCGTTGGGTCTTTGTTGCTGCGCGCGGGCTTTCTCTAAATGTGGCGAGCGGGGGGCTACTCTTCATTGCATTGCACGGGCTTATTGCAGTGGCTTCTCTTGTTGCAGAGCACAGGCTCTAGGCGCACGGGCTTCAATAGTTGTGGCATGTGGGCTCAGTAGTTGTGGCTCGTGGGTTCTAGAGCACAGGTTCAGTAGTTGTGGCGCCTGGGCTTAGTTGCTCCACGGCACGTGGGATCTTCCCAGACCAGCGCTCGAACCCGTGTCCCCTGCATTGGCAGGCGGATTTTTAACCACTGCGCCACCAGGGAAGTCCTCAAATTCTTTTATGTGAGTTCAAAATCCTTTTGGTTAACGGGACATAATGTTAAAGCATCTAGCTTTCTAGGTGGATTTGGGCTTCTCTGCATCCTTCATAGCCCTGCGCAGAGAAGCCCTGAAAGAATGGAGGTGAAAGAGGTGAGAGCCACCCTTAGCTTCTGGAATCAGGGCAGCATCAGATCCAGAGCCTGATTCTCCTCAGACCACCTTGGGGGAAACTCTCAGAGGCTTTGCCAGGGAATGGGCTCTGTCCCAGGGTGGGTCAGGGACTGCTGGGCAGGTCTGGGGAGTCTCAGGTTGATGTCTCACTGCCGTGCCAGCTCCATCCTGGTGCCCTGGCAGTGGGGTGTCAGCTCACCTCTTTAGAGAGCCGTGTGAAGAGGTCTCCGCCACGCAGGAAGTCCAGAATAAGGTAGAGCTTGCCCTCAGTCTGGAAGGCTGGGGAGATGGGAAAAGGCCATGGTGGAACCAGCTGGGCCCTGGGCCCTGCCCCTCTGATCCCAACTTCCTTAGCCTGCTAGGTGGCAGACAGGGCAACATACAGGGAAGGCAACAGCCCACCAGCAAGGGCAAAGGCTGGCAGGTAGGGTAGGAGCTCAAGTAGGGTCTGCAGTCTCACCGTAGTGCAGCTTTACTACAAACGGATGGTTTACATCAGCCAGGATGTCTCTCTCCATCTTGGTCCGAACGCGGTCACGCACTGGTCAGAGGAAGAAGGAGGTTACCAAGGGTCTGGCCACCCAACACAGCTACGCCCAGCCCTGGTTAAGAAGGACTCTCTTTTCTACTTGTTCCTCACATCTCTTGGCAGTGCCCAGGGCTGGCCCTTGGCCCTGCCCATCTCTCTAGCCCTGTCTCTTGCCATGCCCCAAGGAGGCCATTCAATCCAGCCAGTCTAAGCATCCTGCTCCTTGTGTACCCTTAGCCTCCGCCCCCGTGGCTCCCCCTGGGATGCCTTCATCAGCCCCCTCTCCATCTGGCATAAAAATCCCTAATTCCAGTCTAGGGCAGATTCTCTGGGCCTGAAATTCAGACTCACGGGTCTCAGCAGACATCCCACAAACACTTTTTTTTTTTTTTTTTTTTTTTTTTTGCAGTACGTGGGCCTCTCACTGTTGTGGCCTCTCCCGTTGCGGAGCACAGACTCCGATGCGCAGGCTCAGCAGCCATGGCTCACAGGCCCAGCCGCGCCGCGGCATATGGGATCTTCCCGGATCAGGGCACGAACCCGTGTCCCCTGCATCGGCAGGCGGACTCTCAACCACTGCGCCACCAGGGAAGCCCCCCCTTTTTTTTTTTTTAAGGAGTAAAAGTCCCGGAACTTCCCTGGCGTTCCAGTGGTTAAGAATCCGCCTGCCAATGCAGGGGGCACGGGTTCAAGCCCTGGTCCGGGAAGATCCCACATGCTGTGGAACAACTAAGCCCGTGCGCCACAACTACTGAGCCTGTGCTTTAGAGTCCTCAAGCCACAACTACTGAGTCCACACGCTGCAACTACTGAAGCCCACGCGCCTAGAGCCTGTGCTCCACAACAAGAGAAGCCACTGCAATGAGAAGCCCGTGCACCACAACGAAGAGCAGCCCCGGCTCGCCGCAACTAGAGAAAGCCCGCACGAGCAACGAAGACCCAACACAGCGAAAAAGAAATAAATAAAATAAATAAATTAAAAAAAAAAAAAGGCTACTCCCATGTGAGCCCACACCCTTTGAGGCTACAACCCACGCTCTCCCGGGCTCCCTGGCCACAGCACCAACTGCACCGCGCTGCAGAGTCTGCTCAACCTCTCCTGCCCCAGCCTGGGAGCCCTTCGCAGCATTCTTCTCCTCCCACCATCCCTCCTGGGGAAGGACTCCCATCCCTACCAGGATGGCCCTGGGGCACCACAGCTGCATCACCCCACAGACAGCCCTTTGTGGCTCCATGACCCCAAGGCCAATGCCTCCTATTCTCCGCCACCCACCAGCCCAGCCGGGGCCCGCTTCACTTGGTCAGTGGCCACACTGGTTCCCAGGCTGGTCAAAGAGACACTACCGGGCCCAAAGCCCACTTCCAACCACCCTCACGCCCTCTGCAAGTCCGGGATTCTAGACCTGGGCTCAGCTCCCTTCTCTGAGCCCATCCATCTCTGCGGCCTTGCCTTGACCCACCCTCTCCTACCCACCCAGCTGCCTCCTTTCCCGGGTTCCCTCCTCTCCTCTCATGCCCTTCTCCACCCCGAGACGTCTCCCGCTGACTCTCCTAACATTGCGAAGCAACTCTGCTGACAGCACAAGGCCCCCCGCAAACACAGTGCACTCTCCCCCTGCCTCCTTCCAGGCACCTTCAGCTACAGTCAGCACTTGGCTTAAGGGGAGCAGGAAGGGGTGGGGTTAATCCCCGGAAGTCTGTTCTTCTGAATGGACCCTGTCTTTGCTATCAGCTGAGGTGGGGGATGAGGAGCGGCTGAGAATAGGCCCGTTTCTGTACCTTCAGACCAGGTACTCCTCGTGACAGAGCTATCTCCTCCATCAGACCCAAGGCCCTTGAGAGCTGGGCTGTCTCCTTCAATCTGTGCCCAGCCTGGGCTCCGCATGGGGAGGCACCCCCCACTCACCTTTCAGTGTCGCCTTCTTTAGTACCTTCATGGCATACAGGTGCCCACTGTCAGGCCGGGTGACCTTCCGCACCAGGAAGACCTGAGAAGGCAGCGGGGGGGGGTGAAACCAGGGGAGGAGCTGGGCAGGGGTCGAACACATCAGCTCCCACACGCTCCAGGTCCTAGGCTGACCTCCAACTTCCCTAAGCACCAAGTTGACCTTGTGTCCCCACTGGGTACCACGGTGACCTCTCTCCTCCTCCCCTTAGACCCATCAACCCTTGCCCTCTGATCTTTTAAGCTCCAAGGTGACCCTCCCACCTGCCCTCTGACATGACCAGTGCTGCCCTTCCAGCTGTAGGCTCAGGACTCACTTTGCCAAAGGATCCCTGGCCCAGAACCTTGAGGAGCTCAAAATGGGATGGGTCGGCTTTCTCAGAGCCAGCCTTGACATGGTGCGTGATGGAGATCTCCTTGAGGACGTCTTCATCCTGATGGAGGAACAGAGCTGGTGAGCACGGTGGGCCCCATTCAGGTCAGCATAGGGCATGTCCCCCCATCCAAGTCTACTCCCACCGGATCTCAGCAGACAGGGTCCTACAGGCCCAACCAGCCAGCTACCCTGACAGGGCCTCCCAGTTCATCAAGAGCAAAAGCCGGGGAGGGGAAAATTACCAAGGTGCCAGGTCAGGTGAGCTCCTATACCTCCTGCTGCTCCAGCCTGCTCAGGCCCAGAGGGATGCCCCGGCACGGCCGGGTGGAGGCAAGCCCAGGCTCTGGCTGAGGCCCACGAACCTGCCCCAGGTCCTCCCTGTGCGGCTCCCCTCCCCCTGCTGCAAAGGTTTTGGTTTTGCCACAATAGGAAGTAGGGTTTTTTCTCATACTGGGAAGGCACAACTGGGCTTTTGTTCCTGGTCAAGATGGAAGATGGGCTGTCTCTGGCTAGAAGGACAGGGCTGAGATACACAAGAACCCAAGAGTCACCTCAGACTCCCCCACCAACTGGGTAAGTGCCAGTCTGGGGTGGGTAGGAGCTAAGGCCAGAGACTCTATGCTCCACCCTCTGAAACTTCCTTCATACAAGTCTACTAGAAAGCCCTTGCCATGTCCCAGTTGTTCTAGAACCCCTCTGCCCTCCCTCCAATCTGTCCATATGGCCCTGGAGCCCTGAAGTGCCTCCTCACTTCCCCAGGAAGCAAGTCTGGGCAGGGTCCAATCACCCAGTAGGGACAGGCGTGGGCAAGGAGAGCCCAGAGCCAGCTGAGGCTAAACTGGCTTCCAAGGCACCTGCTCCAAGGGCCACAGTCAGGCCAGGCCTAGACATCTGGGCACACTCACCGAGTCCCGCCTGGGGCCAGGGCCAGGGCCAGGGGCAGGCAGAGAAGTCTGGCTGATCCTGGGCCGCTGCTTCCTGGGCAGCCAGGGAAGCAGGGCCCAGAGCCGCAGACGGGGCAGCTTGGGATCCCGCTCCATCCGCCTGGGCTGGGCAGAGGCACCATGGCAGGAGCAGGCGGCGTCCGGGGCTGCTGCGGAGGTGGCCAGGCCCAAGGCGGATGTGCAGGGTGAAGGCGGGGGCTGGGCCCAGCCCAGGACTGCCAATCACTCAGGGCCTGTGGTTTCCCAGCTCCCTTACCACGCTCCCTTCCTCTCTCTTCCCCCTCCCTATTGCCTGAGGGCTGCCCTCGGGCCCTCCTCCCCATCCTCCCTGTGGGCCTTCAAAGGGAAAGCCCCATGCCAACCCAGCTACTGAGGAGTAGATAGGTACCCAACAGGGAGAGACAGGCAACTAACATCTAGAGGCAGATAAAGAGGGACACCCAACAGGCAGAGGCAGGCATCCTACAGGTGAAGACAGATGAAGGTGGGCATCCAACAGATGGGTAGGAGAGTCCACATGCCCAACAGGCAGGGATGGATAGGGGCATGTGCCCAACAGGCAGAGGTAGGAAGAACACACATCCAATAGGCAGAGACAGATGGGGACATGTACCCAACAAGCGGAGGCAGGAAGGGACTCATACCTAATAGGCAGAAGTGGACAGAGACTCATACCTAACACGCAGAGGCAGATGGGGACACATATCCAACAGGCAAAGATAGATGGGGACATGTACCCAACAGGCAGAGACAGATGGGGATCCAACAGGCAGAGGCAGATGGGGGCCTGCACCCAACAGGTGGAGACAGATGGGGACATGTACTCAACAGGCAGAGACAGAAGGGGACACGACCCAACAGGCACCCAGTACGTGACATGTACCCAACAGGTGAAGACAGACACTCATGAAGTGGAGACAGAGACAGGAGCTCAACAACAGAGGCAGGTGGGCAGCAGTCAGCATCAGTGAGGCCCAAAGAGACTGACAGATACCCAGGGCACACATACAGTCAGGAAAGACACAAAGACACCCCGAGAGTCAGACTCTGGACTTAAGGGAAGACCTCCAGGTTCCTGCTAGTCTGCCTGGGGGCAGGAAAGCGATGGGACATCACCTGCAAACTCCCAGCACTTGGGAGAGCAGTCTGGTATTCGTGGCAGACTCATCTCTGAGGAATTCCATTTCTCTGGAGTTTCCTTCCCATGCTATGGCCTGAGGGGCCCAGGATCAAGACACTGGAGACCGAGATGGATGTCTCCTGAGTGCAAACTGATAGCTTTGATCCAAATATCCCAAAGCTGTCATCCCCCACTTCAGGAACAAGAAACTGAGGCCCACAGGACAGTGACTCACCCAGGCTCAACGTGAACAGGTGGCAGAGCCAGCTCAAACCCAAGTTCTTCCCCTGGTTACTGCCTGGCCTGGGGTCAGCAGACCTCAAGTACCAGGAAAGCGTGGGCAGGTAAGTCAGCCAGAGCCATGTCCTGCCTTTCCAAGCCTGCCCCCTCCCTTAGTACCAGGACAGTCTGGGGACTTCCCATTCTAGATGCTGACCCTCAGAGACACAGCCCCATCTTCAGGGGATCCTGAACAGCCACAAAAGCTGCAGGCTAATCAGGCCCCTGAGTGTAACCCAGTGGGTGGGACAGGCAGAAAGCCCAGCTCAGAGAGGGGCTGGGGAGGGCCAAGACCACACAGCAACCCCTACCCACCCCATCCTGAGGTCTGAATCTCCATGTGTCTGTCTGCCTCTGACTGAGAACACTCCCTGGGGACACAGGCAGTCACCCGGAAACCCCAGGGGACACAGCCACCCCCAAACCCATTCCTTGCCCAGAGTCATGACAGACCCCGCTGGAGGCAGGCCAACCCTCTGCTCACCTTTCTGGGATAGGGGAGTGAGTCTCTCTCAACTCTGGGGAAATCTGCCAGGGTCTGCATGGTGGGGCCCAAGCTGGCGGTCAGAGGGCCCAGTTACTCCCCTTACTTCTGCTTTTTCAGCTTTCCTGGCCGAGCAGGCAGGGTCCCTGACCCCCTCCTTCTCACTTCCCCCTCTGCAGGGAGGAGGGACAGAAGACGGCTTAGGCTCCCCTGCTAAGGAGGGGACAGTGCAGACACCAAGCCCAGGGCTCCAGGGTGGGCCCAGAGAGACACCCCTCATCTCCTCTGATCCTAAGGAAAGGAGACTAGAACACAGACAGAAGTTACAAGGAGATGAGGCAGCGACACAGTGGGTACCCCACACCTGCAAACATCCCCTGGAGAGAATGGGGGGCAGAGGTCACCAAGGCCACCATCTCTGACTGTCCCGGTCCAGAGCATGGGAAATCCTTCCCCCGTAGTGACCTTCCCATGGCTGGGCCCGCCCAAAATGGCAGCCCACAGAGCGGGCACCACCCTGCCCTAATAAGCCTGCCAGCCCAGGGCCCTGGGACGGGCAAGGGGGCAGAAGGCCCTAGCATGAACCTCACAGAGGCCTGAGAGGAGGAGCAGGTAGCCATGGGGCAGGGGTTGACCAGGCCCAGCCCTTTGCCACATGGCCTCACCACATCACTGACACCAGTACACCCACAGAAAATGACACACACAAATGCACACAGTCCGATGATCGGAAACCATTTCCACAGACATCCCCTATGTGGAAACGCTCCCACGTACACCGAACTTCCCCTTCCAGTCCCCACAGGGCCTCCAATAACTGCCTGATGACGGCCTGCTGGGTGTTGTGAAAGATGCTTCCTTAGACCGAGGCCTCTCATTGTACTCCAGCTTCTTCTGGGGCATCTGGGGTCTGGAGGCTGGGGCAGTCCTGAGAGCCCCAAAGCTCTCTGGTCCAGTGCCGGCTGGGGCCCCCCAACCCTTGCATCCCTCGGAAGCAAAGGAAGACTCTCCATGGCTAGCAGGGTACGGGAAGGGGCAACAGGAAGGAAACTGTCTCGGAACTGCCTTCACTGAAGGGAACGTGCAGGGCCTGTGAGGCCGCTGGTGGCAGGAGTAGGGAGGACAGCACCAGACCCCACCCCCTGGTCCCTGCCCCATTCCCCCTAGAGATACTTCCTCTTATTTACTTCCTCCCACAAGGCAGCTGGAGAGAAGCCCAGATCCCCCCCACCTGATCCCTGGCCCATAGGGTCCCCACACTGGGCCTCCCTCCAGCAGCTGCAACCCAAGCCCACCTGCTAATCTCTGGCCCTAACGTACACCAACAGCCCCTCCCCCAGCTGGCACCATCTGCAGGGCCTCCCAGGACTGCCCCTCTGACGGGACAGATGTCCCCAGATGCCTCTCCCAGCATGCCTCTGGGCAGGTGAGGAGGGATCTACATTTCCTAGGCATCCTTGATAGGGGAGGTGGCTTTGGGCCCGAGGCCAGGACTGGCATGGAATGACAATGAGAATTGTGCCTATTAATTGAACATTTATTGCATGAAGTCATTCTTTCCCTCAACTTTTGTTGGTGTGGATTCTGCCAGGCCCTGTGTCCTAGCTCCAAGGAAGTACTGATCCCATTTCAGAGAGGAGAAAACTAGACTCAGAGAGAAAGTAACTTGCCCAAGGCCACATGGCCAGAAAGGGGGAGAGCTCAGGGCAAAATCAACCTGTTTACTTCCAAAGCCTACACTCTAAGCATTTCATTATCACCTTCCTTGCAAGCCCTGCCAGCCTGCCTCCCCTCTGGAAATCACTCACAGCTACTGGCCCGCTGCTCTGTCCTCAGGCCAGGAACCAGACACTAGGAGGCGCACATGTTAAGGCAGACCTGTCCCCAAGATAAATACACAATAACAAGACACAACTGTCCTGGGACACAGTGCAGTCAAGGTGCTGTAGGTGCCCAGAGGCTCTAACTGTCTACCTGGGGTGAGGTCCAGGAAGACAGGGCAGTCCAGCTGGACCCTGGAGATGAACAGGAGTTGGCCAGGCAGAAAGGAGGACAAATTTAGACACTCCGTGTAGGAAGAGACCAGCGTGGAAAAGAGGCTTGAGGCCAGGAGTACAGCGTGGGGAGTTAAGAACCGTCTACTCACTAGCTGAGTGTTCCCAGGCAAATCTCTTTCCCTGTCTGAGCCTCAGTTTCTTCTTCTATAAAACAGAGGTCAAAACTAGATTGTTCCACCCTCAAAAGGTTGTTTCTAGAAGCAAAATGGGCCACAGAAACAAAGGGATGTGGTAAACAGAATTCCCTGGATTACACGGGCACTCTTACTGCCGCAGGGTCTCCTCTGGGCAGGCTGAAGGGACAGAGCCCAGCAGGTCTCAGGTGCTGGGAAGGTGGGCTAGCCTGCCCTGGCTAGTCCCAGGGAAGTTCCCCTCAACACCTGAAGCTCCCAAGGCTCCCCGAAGTCCACAGTCACATCCTGCCTGAGCTCCAGCCAGGGGGAGCATGAGGGATCCGGGAGGGATCAGGGTTTCATAAACAGGAAGAGAGGAGGGGAGGGGGGAGACGCTCAGCTCTCAAAATAGACCTGCAGGAGCTTCAAAGGGGTCCAGCTCCGGAGATAGCCGGGGGAGGGGGCCTGGGGCACCCAGTCCACCCCCAGGAAGGGAGGGAGGGTGAATGGAGCCCCAGCATGCCTGAGGGCACCAGGTGCACTCCAGGAGCTCTCACCCTAGACTGCAGTCCTCACTATAGCTGCTAAAACCCCAATCTCCCCTTCTGCCTGAAATGGATAAAATAAACAAGCATTAAACACCAACATTATGCCTCAAACCCTGTTGAATTCTTCACTTTATACACATCACATTCCCTCCTCTGGGTGGCCCTGTGGGGTGGACCCTATTCTTTTACAGAAAAGACATCTGAGCCTCAGAGGGGCAAATCACTTGCCCAAGGTTACACAGCAAACAAGAAAGAGGGGCAGGATTCTGAACTCAGAGCCCCTGCCTCCCAAGTCCCCCTCCAAGTCAGGCCTCTCCTCCACCTGGAAGGCCCACTTTTCTCTCCAGTTGCCCAAATCCTGCCTTTCGAGGCCCAGCCAAATGCCAGCTCTGCAGGGAAGGTGACCTGGTGCCCCACGGCCCATCCCAACTCTTCCTCTTCTGCCACACACAGCAGTGACTGTCCTGGTCCACGCTCAGCCCTGAGTTCAGATGCCACTGGCTGGGTTCCCCGGGATGCGCTCATCTCATCATGCCCCCAAGAGACATGTAGGAAGGTGGTATATTTCACTGCCCACTATGAGGCCTGGCGCAGAATGGAGGTCTTAGGTGCCCACAGCCTGTTCTTCCCCATCACAGCGCCCTCTACACAGCTTTCCTGATACCACCGTTCCCCCAACACTGGGAACTCCCTGAGGGTGGGTGTTGAATTCATTTTGGGGTCCCCAGTGCTACAGCAGGGTGCACTGAAAGTCTGATGTTGCAAAACATAAACCAGCTTGCTGCCAGCTTGTTCCACTAAACAAAGGGATGAGGTCCTGACCACAGGCTGAGCGCTCCCTGGTGTGTTGAGCCCAGAAGTGGGCACTGGGGATGCTAGGAGGTTCTGGAGCAATGGAGAAGGTGAATGAGCAGGTGCCGAGGAATGATGGAACTTGGGGTCACGGGGACCCAAGGCTCCTCCTCTTCAGCACTCAGTGTGTTTCCTGGGCTGGGAGGAGGGTGGGCTCTCTGGTCAAGCAAGACCTGACCCTATCGCCCACCAGCTATTTGACCTTGGGCCTCAATTTTCTCATCTGTAAAATGGGGAGAGTTAACCTCCAGGGGTGTTATGAGAACCAAATGCAAAGCTCCTGATATGGCGCTTTCTCTCCCTTAACGTGGCATTCGAGGTTCTCCCTGACCCATCGTGTCCAGCCACATCTCCCTTCCCAGCCCAGGATCTGCTCTAGAGCAAGAAGGAGTCCCAGGCTTGGGATCAAATGTAGGTCGCCCGCCTGGGTAAGTTCCTGCCCTTTCCCAACCAGCCTCTCTAGCACTGAGGTGAGAAGCTGCACTCACCACCAGCTCCCTCAAAGGTGCAAGCACTTCTGCAACTCCCAGAACCACAGCCCCAAGATCTGAACATTCTGGGTCTTCACTGGAGACCGACAGCCCCTTCATTCTGTTACTAGGCAACCAGGGGCAGCTCCTTTGTGGGGA